TCTTGCCAAGAAATGCATAACACATTACAATCCTAGATCCTGCAATACCTTCTGAACTGATGGAAGGAGATGCTATCAACCCTCATTGCCTCGAGTGGTTTCTTACCGCACTGGACAAGGGGAAACTGGGAAGATAAATTCTATGCTAATTTTTTAATTTCATTTAAGTCTTAGAGAAAAAATAATTTATATAGAAATATCAAAAGGTCAAATGCCACTAGATGTAATCTTAACCCATTGACTCCACATTTTTCAAAGAAAATTTTGACCACTTAATTTGAAAAGAAAAGTGTTCTTCGTGTCATTTAGCATAGCTTTTAAATTCACTTGACCTCCACATTACTCTAAAAGGTTCAAACTAAAAAGACCAATTTCTGAACCTGTAATTACATGACTTAATTCGGACAACATTTAGAAAAATGCACTGCAATCTATGATGCTTGTTAAGAAAAAATGAGGGGAAAAAAATACTCCACATATATGGATTTCAATGGTGAAGATTCAATTCTGAATCATATTACTATACACGAGTGGAAACCCAATTTGGTGAATTACAAATGACAATGTTGCAATAAATAGATAAATACAGCAATAGTTGACAATCAAAGCACGTCATGTAATCGATGTCAACAGACGTCCATTGAATACTATCACTGTAGTCGAAGTGTATCCATATGCAATCATACATTACCACATTAGAAATATATATATAGGATCGCAGAAGCATCTTAACCTGCCATTCATAGCTTTCACTGCATTCCAGGCATTGACTTCTGATGCAAATTTCACAGAAGCAAATCCTTTAGCCTTTGTGTTCTTGGGTCTTTGATAAGCCTAGCTGCACTGAAACACTGTCATCATCCACGGGAACGAATGGAAGGTTAAGACCAGTGCATTGAATACTAGGAGAAAGAAGAAAGCATCTCAAATTAAAACCTTTCAATTAAGAGTATGTTTGGCTAAGCTTAAATCTAAGTAATAGTTATTTTTAAGTAACTTTTTTATTTTCCAAACCTTTTTAATTAAAACTTACACCTTCTTCAAGTATCTCTACTTACTTATTTCCAATTTTAATAAATAAAAAATCATTAATTTTAGAACCTACTCACTCACTTATAAGCCCTTGTTTGGTACAAATTATTTAAAACTCATCTTTAACCACACATTCTTCAAGTAAAATAATTTTACAAGTGCACATATAATTTTTCCATACTTTTTTAACCACATATTCTCAAAAAAAATAATAAAATCTTTCACAAAATTTATTCTCAAAAACAATACATAAAAGGCCCTAAGTGAACTTTTTAAGCTTGGCCAGAAATGATCCAAACACTAGTAAATTATACCATTATTTTTTTAATCACATATTCTCAAGAAATAAAAAATAATCACAAAATTTATTCTCAAAAAGTCTACATCAAAGGCCCTAAGTGAACTTTTTAAGCTTGGCAAGACGTGCTCTAAATAATTATATCTTCTGTGATTGCAGGGAACGGTGAGAATGACCTTTTCAATTCTTCGGTGGCGATGTAAATTGACAATCCTAGCCTCAGATAATCGAGACTTATTCGATATTAGAAATTCAAAAACAAAAACAATCCAGAGAGTCGGAGAAAAAAACAAATAAAACCGAAAAAGAGATGCATACTGCTAATAAATAACTCAGAACTAATTCTTCTTGCCATCTGAGGTAGGCATGTTTTATCAGTCACGACTGATCTGATTTTAGTAAGCAATAGCCGATTAGTCCTACATGAGATTCAAGGAATTTCGAGCCTGTTTGCTAATCTTAAAAAGTAAAGTTGCTTTTATTTAACTTTTTTACTGCAAACATATAACTTCTGTTTTTTCCTTCTTACTTTATTTTCAGATCGTAAATTTACTCATAAGTGAACTTTTTAAGCTTAGCCAAACATGTTCTCAATCACAAGATTCTAGACAACGCATTTTACATCTCTTTATCAAACCATAGTTCTAAAATTCTTGATATTCAACAAGGTATGAC